AACACCATAGTAAAAGACAGAAGACATTCCTGAGTTTTGGTTTCACAATCAGACTCTCCATCATGAAGACATTTAGGAAAAAACGGGCAGAGAATTGAAACTGAAATGACTACTGCTTTCGTCCCACTCTGATTTGCTAGGCCCATTTCACCCCCACACCCTTCCCAAAATCAAGTCTTGCTGGAAAGCACAGCCTCACCCATTCCTTCCCATGACGTTCACAGCGGAGGTGAGAAATTGTGAAACAGAGTGAATGTTATGCTCCTCACGGGACACCTCTGCCAGGCACTCTACAGACCTCAGGGCCGCAGTCACCAGCCCACAGTTCCCAGGCCCCTTCCTTACCGAACACGCTGTCCCTTTCCGCGCCCCTACCTAGGAGTCCAGAAACTGTCCTGTCTCAGAGGGTTCCAGGAGTTTCCGGGACTCAGACACCTCTAACAGCACCCGCAGCACTCGCCCCATCTTCACGTGATCCCTCCCCTCTGTGGCCCACGTTCCTCCCTCGTTCCAGCCGAGCCACAAAGACAAGTCCCATGGTGGCATGGCGACCTAGGAGGAGCTGGACGATGACTGCAAGGCCCTTTTCCCTCAGAAGCCACGGACTGTGCTGCAGGACCTGTCCTAACGCTGGCTCCTCCACACATTCACTCACAACTAAATTCTCAGGAAGACCGCTCTGCGGACCTACCGGCTGCGTCTCAATCAGTGAGAAAGAATCAAGATGGCGGAAAGAATGAAGACACAACCTCTGCCTGCAGAGCTCTGCGTGGACAGAAGGTGGGCAGCAAGGCGCATACGCAACAACAGACACGCCTAGCAACAGACATGCGCAGCAACAGGTCTGTGCAACATGCGCACTGAGGAGGGCATTCGCCTCCAGACTGAAGTTTTCCTGCCTCTGTGGAGAACCTAAACCAGCAGTGCTCCTAACATTGAAAATGAATTGCAAAGCACTTTTCTTTTTCCCCCCCCCAATCTTTCTTTCCCTTCCAGTGGCTTTGGAGAATATGAGCCCCAGCTTACTCTAATAATGTGTTTCAGAAAAATTCACCATCACAGAAATAAATCTTAAATATTTTAATCCCCGTTTTATATACGCTTCCAGAAATCATTTTCTTGCCTCCTTCACGAGTTTGCTGTCATGCTTGCAGTGGTCTTACCCACTCCAATACGATAAGACATTCATAGTTCTTGGTTGCATTATTGTACGTTCAAAATCATTGATCCAGCTGGACAACATTAAAGTGGTAGGAACTCAACCTTAGTTGTTGAATCCCTGTTTCACCCACTGTTTTGAAATGGCTCTTTTATCATCGCCTACATCCCCACTCAATTTTGTATGTAACTCCCTTCTTTTAATTTTCTTCCATTGAGTTGTTTATACTTGTACCACTACTGCAGTATTTTAATTGCTGTAGCTTAATGCTAGTTGAAATGTGAAGTAATGCTTGCCCTCCCTCACTGATTTCTCCTTTTCTATCAATTCTGACACGTTGGTCTTTCAGATGAACTGCAGAATCATTTGATCAGGTGCTAAAATATTCCTGTTGAGATACTAGTTACTATTTTTATATTACATGTTAACTCTGGGACAATAGCCATCTATTTTAGAATCTCTCAATCAAAAAATAAAAAATAAAAAAAAAAGCCACTCCTCAATTCCTCAAGTCTTTTAACGTATCCCGCACAATGACTGGGTTTTTTGCTACATATTAGTTCTTCACATTCAAATTAAATTTATTCATGGGTATTTTTATTTCTCCATTCCATTGCTGACCCGTGTTTGCTTTTACTCCACTATGTTTTTCACGCAAGTCAAACAACCTCTGTTTGCAAACCATATGATTCCATACCTAGAAAATCCCGGACACTCTACCCAAAAGTTCCTTGATCTTATAAACAACTTCAGGAAATTTTCAGGATACAAAATTAATGTACCTAAAGCAGGAGCGTTTCTGTACACCAACTACCTTGAAGCTCAGAGCCAAATCAGAAGCACAATCCCATTCACAATTGCCACAAAAAGAATAAAATACCTAGGAATACAGCTAACTAGGGAGTAGAACAATCTCTGCTATGAGAACTACAAAACACTGCTCAAAGAAATCAGAGATGACACAAACGGAAAATCATTCTATGCTTATGAACAGGAAGAAGCAATATTTTCAAAATAGCCAAACTGATCAGAGCAATCTATAGATTCAATGGTGTTCCTACTAAACTACGAATGACGTTCTATATGGAATTAGAAGAAAACTATTTTAAAATTCATGTGGGATGGTTGCAGGGATCTGGCAAGATAGCCTAATAGGAAAAGCGTTGGTCTGCAGTTCCCAGCAAGACCAACACAGAAGGCAAGGGATTTCTGCATTTCCAACTGAGGTACCCAGTTCGTCTTATTGGGACTGGTTAGGCAGTGAGTGCAGCCCACGGAGGGCAAGCAGAAGCAGGGTGGGGCATTGCCTACCCGTGAAATGCAAGGAGTCAGGAATCTCCCTTCCCAAGCCAAGGGAAACTGTAACGTACTGTGCTATCTGGTCCAGATTCTACGCTTCTCCCACAGTTTTTGCAATCTGCAGACGGAAAGATTCCCTCTTGTGCCAACACCAGCAGGACCCTGGGTTTCAAGCACAAAACTGGGCAGTTGTTTGTGCAGACACTGAGCTAGTTGCAGGAGTTTTATGGTTTTTTTTGGTACCCCAGTAGCACCTGGAACCCAGTGTCACACAACTGTTCGCTCTCCTGGAAAGGGGGCTGAATCCAGGGAACCAGGTGATCTTGCTCAGCAGGTGCAGTCCTATGGAGCCCAGCAAGCTAAGAATCACTGGCTTGAAATTCTCATTGCCAGTCCAGCTGTCTGATGTCTACTTGTGACTATTGAGCTTGGTGGGAGGAGGGGTATCCACTATTGCTGAGGCTTGAGTAGGCGATTTTCCCCTGACAATGTTAAGGAAACCTGGAAGCTCGGAATGGGCAGAACTCATCACAGGGTGGCAAAGTGGCTGTGGCCAGATTGCCTCTCTAGATTCCTCCTCACTGGGCAGGGCATCTATGAAAGAAAGGCAGAGGCCCAGTCAGGGGTGTATAGATAAAACTGCCATCTCCCTGAGATAGAGCACCTGGGGGAAGGGATGGCTGTGGGTGCAGCTGCAGTGGACTTAAATGTCCCTGCCTGCCGTCTCTGAAGACAAGAGCAGATCCTGACAAGGAGGTTTCTCCCAGCATAGTGCTTGAGCTCTGCTAAGGGACAGACTGCCTCCTCAAGTGGGTCCCTGACCCCCATGCCTCCTGACTGGGAGAGACCTCCCAGCAGGGATCCACAACCACCTCATATAGGACAGCTCTGGCTGGCATCAGGCCAGTGCCCCTCTGGGACAAAGCTTCCAGAGGAAGAGGCAGGAAGCAATCTTTGCTGTTTTGCAGCCTCCACTGGTGATGCCCAGGCAAACAGGGTCTGGAGTGGTCCTCCAGCAACCTGCAGCAGACCTGCAGAAGACGGGCCTGGCTGTTAAAAGAAAATCTGACAAAGGGCTAATATCCAGAACCTACAAAGAACTCAAACAAATTTACAAGAAAAAAACAAACAACCCCATCAAAAAGTGGGCAAAGGATATGAACAGACATTTCTCAAAAGAAGACATTCATACAGCCAACA